GCACGAACTGAGGGCTACTATAATGGGATGAGGTGCTGTACAAGACAACCGGGTTTCCGTAGGTAGATGCTTATAGCACTCTCTGAAGGTCGAAGGTTTGTATCACAGATTGCGTCGTTCGGTTCAGTAGTGCAGTTTTTACGGAGACAATAGCAGTAGTCGCTGGAGCTACGAAATTCGTGCTTTATGCGATGCTCTCGGCAGGTGGCTAGCCGTAATATATGGAATAATACGATACAGTGAATCGATCCTAGCGACTTAGGACACATAGCACAATAATCACAGCAATATTCCTCAAGTGTGGAAGACCACAAATATTGGTACGTCTGCAATGTAACAGCTGTCGTGCCTGTTCAACAGTGCCCAGTATTGTCTTATACCGTAGATTAACAGTCTAAACCCAGTGAAGAAATCTATATTTTATATTTGCTTCCAAACCAACGCATTCGTGCGATTTTCACCGTGATTATTAAAATAAAGAATCCTGCCCCACCCCCCCCCCCCACCCCCACCCCCTCCCCTAAAAAAAAAATCCGTTACTAACATTTTACCAGATCTGAACAAGGAAGAGAGCTTGCAGCATATTTCCGGGAACAGACATATAAAAAACGGCACACAGACACATCTGGACACAGAAATATTAAACAAGATATATGGCAAAGGTTTTTCAAAGCTTCTCGTAAACGTCCTACAGGCTGAAGATGATAACAAAATATGGCAAAGCTCTGTGTAATGATTGACAATAACAACATGTGGCACCGCTTTGTGTAATGAATAACAATAACAACATGTGGCACAGCTCTGTGTTATGATTGACAATAACAACATGGGGCACAGCTCTGTGTACTGATTGACAATAACAACACGTGGCACAGCTCTGTGTAATGATAGACAATAACAACATGTGGCACAGCTCTGTGTAATGATTGACAATAACAACATGTGGCACAGCTCTGTGTAATTGTTGACAATAACAACATGTGGCACAGCTCTGTGTAATGATTGTCAATAACAACATGTGGCACAGCTCTGTGTAATGATTGACAATAACAACATGTGGCACAGGTTTTTGTAATGACTAACAATAACAATATGTGGCACAGATATGTGTAATAATTAACAAAAACAACATGTGGCACAGCCCTGTGTAATGATTAACAATAACAATATGTGGCACGGCTCTATGTAATGATTAACAATAATAACATGTGGCACAGCTCTGTGTAATGATCAACAATAACAACATGTGGCACCGCTTTGTGAAATGATTAACAATAACAACATGTGGCACAGCTCTGTGTTATGATTGACAATAATAACATGTGGCACAGCTCTGTGTAATGATTAACAATAACAACATGTGGCACCGCTTTGTGTAATGATTAACAATAACAACATGTGGCACCGCTTTGTGTAATGATTAACAATAACAACATGTGGCACAGCTCTGTGTTATGATTGACAATAACAACATGTGGCACAGCTCTGTGTAATGATAGACAATAACAACATGTGGCACAGCTCTGTGTATGATTGACAATAACAACATGTGGCACAGCTCTGTGTAATTGTTGACAATAACAACATGTGGCACAGCTCTGTGTAATGGTTGACAATAACAACATGTGGCACAGGTCTTTGTAATGACTGACAATAACAACATGTGGCACAGCTCTGTGTAATGATTGACAAAAACAATATGTGGCACAGCTTGGTGTAATGATTGACAATGATAATAACAATATGTGGCACAGCTCTGTGTAATGATTAACAATAACAACATGTGGCACAGCTCTGTGTGATGATTGACAATAACAACATGTGGCACAGCTCTGTGTAATGATTGACAATAACAACATGTGGCACAGCTTGGTGTAATGATTGACAATGATAATAACAATATGTTGCACAGCTCTGTGTAATGATTAACAATAACAACATGTGGCACAGCTCTGTATAATGATTAACAATAACAACATGGGGCAGAGCCCTGTGTATTGATTGACAAAAATAACATGTGACACAGCTCGGTGTAATGATTGACAATGATAATAACAACATGTGGCACAGCTCTGTGTAATGATTGACAACAATGTGAAATGCTCTATTCCGACAGGATTGCTGGTTCGCAGAGAAGCTGCCTTTTGCAGAGCCCTGTGTATTGATTGACAAAAATAACATGTGACACAGCTCGGTGTAATGATTGACAATGACAATAACAACATGTGGCACAGTTCTGTGTAATGATTGACAATAACAACATGTGACACATCTCTGTGTAATGATTGGCAATAACAACATGGGGCACAGCTCTGTGTAATGATTGACAATAACAACATGTGGCGCAGCTCTGTGTAATGGTTGACAATAACAACATGTGGCACAGCTCTGTGTAATGATTGACAATGATAATAACAACATGTGGCACAGCTCTGTGTAATGAATAACAATAACAACATGTAGCACAGCTCTGTGTAATGATTAACAATAACAACATGTGGCACAGCTCCGTGTAATGATTAACAATAACAACATGTGGCACAGCTCTGTGTAATGATTAAAAGTAACAACATGTGGCACAGCTCTGTGTAATGATTGACAATAACAACATGTGGCACATCTCTGTGTAATGATACACAATAACAACATGTGGCACAGCTCTGTGTAATGATTAACAATAACAACTTGTGGCACAGCTTTGTGTAATGATTAACAATAACAACATGTGGCACAGCTGTGTGTAATGGTTGACAATAACAACATGTGACACAGCTCGGTGTAATGATTGACAATGATAATAACAACATGTGGCACAGCTCTGTGTAATGATTGACAACGATGTGAAATGCTCTATTCCGACAGGATTGCTGGTTCGCAGAGAAGCTGCCTTTTGCAGCATGGGCATGTCAAAAACAATGGACCGACTTGAAGCCATCGATTTCTCCGACACAGTGATTCTGTACGAACCGTTGCAAGTCACATACAGACTGACGGCAGATAGAAGCAGCATCGATACTTCTCTGACTGATATCGTCCATTCAACGTTTTACCTGCTACTTGTGGGACCCATCTTGCTACTTGTCCTCCTTGGCCTTGTCACTCACGTCCTCACCAATGCTTGCACAGAAGCTGCTCCCACCTTCTCGTGGCAACGGTTAAGGTATTTGCTTTTCTCTTCCATATATAGTAATTTTGTTCTAACCCTGTACAGTTAGTTACAATAAGTATTGCTATGTTCTAACCCTGTACAGTTAGTTACAATAAGTATTGCTATGTTCTAACCCTGTACAGTTAGTTACAATAAGTATTGCTATGTTCTAACCCTGTACAGTTAGTTACAATAAGTATTGCTGTGTTCTAACCCTGTACAGTTAGTTACAATAAGTATTGCTTTGTTCTAACCCTGTACAGTTAGTTACAATAAGTATTGCTGTGTTCTAACCATGTATTGTTAGTTACAATAAGTATTGCTGTGTTCTAACCATGTATTGTTAGTTACAATAAGTATTGCAATGCTCCTACCCTGTACAATTAGTTACAAGTATTGATATGTTCTAACTCTGTACAGTTAGTTACAATAAGTATTGCTATGTTCCAACCCTGTACAGTTAGTTACAATAAGTATTGCTATATTCCAACCCTGTACAGTTAGTTACAATAAGTATTGTTATGTTCTAACCCTGTACAGTTAGTTACAATAAGTATTGACAGAAACTACACCTGCCTGAGAGTTCTTAAATCTCATATTGACAGAAACTACACCTGTCTGGGACTTCATAAATCTCATATTGACAGAAACTACACCTTTCCGAGAGTTCCCAAATCTCATATTGACAGAAACTACACCTGTCTGTAAATTCCCAAATCTCATATTGACAGAAACTACACGTGTCTGAGAGTTCCCAAATCTCATATTGACAGAAACTACGCCTGTCTGGGAATTCCCAAATCTCATATTGACAGAAACTATTCCTAAGTAAGAGTTCAAAATTGTAGAGAAAATTTCTATCTTCTTGTACAGGAGACTAAGCTCGTTCTCCGACCACGTCTGCTTCCACACGGACACCAGCTACGCCGGACAAACCGGGCGGGTGTTGAAAGGATCTTGGAGTGTCTTCTGGCTTGTCTTCATCGCGGCAGTTAGTGCCTTTTTTGTCACTAGTTTTACAGTGAAACCAGCAGAGCTGAAGATTGACAGCCTGGACAAGCTCTTAAACTATAAAAGATACGCTCTGGGTGTGCTGGGTTCAAATTCCGCCCTACTAGAAACACTCAGAACATCAGACGAGTGGGTGAAAGTTGCTCTGTGGCAGCGCATATCAACTGCCAACAAAAGTGACCCTTCCCTGCTGACCTCAAACTACACAGCTCACGTCTCTCGGGTTCTCTCAGAAGAGTATGTGTTTCTTCATCACTTCGGAGTGCTGGACATGCCCCTGTTTGTTGAGGCTGACTACTCGAACGTCAGAAGCCATCTGATCCCCTCCTTGGACAGCCTGGCCGGGGAGTTTCTCGCCATGCCAAAGAATGTTTTCTTCAGAGACCAGCTAAATCATTTGGTAACGATACTTGGCGAAACGGGCATTCTACGATATCTGGGGCTCAAGTACACAATTTACCAGAAAGAAACCAAAATCAGATCGCCTCTGGAATGTCAGAGCCCCGTTGTGCTGTCCAGGATCTGGTTGTTTGTGTATATAACAGCCTGTAATCTTGGCGTTTGCTTGCTGTGTTTGATGGCGGAGATTGTCTACGACAAGATGCGAACCAGAACAGTTCAAGGCCGCCCTAGACAACTACAGACAAGTCTGTCAGCCAAAGATGAGATCCAGGCTAGGGCACCATCACAGAGATGTCCACGGCAGTTGATCACTTGACTTTGTTGTTATAGATCACATGTTCTACTCTTCCAACCTCAACTGCTGAGAAGGGGGAGGGGGGGGGGTCAGAAATTCGAGAGCATAGAAGTTTTTGACACCAAGAAACAACGGAAGACAGACATGTCAACAAAAGTTGTGGAGTGGTTGGTTAGAACAGGGGATGAACACCGGGTACAGACATTAATGATACACCAGGTACAGACATCAATTATACACCAAGTACAGACATCAATGATGTACCAGGTACAGACATCAATGATACACCAGGTACAGACATCAATGATACCCCAGGTACAGACATCAATCATACATCAGATACAGATATCAATCATACACCAGATACAGACATCAAACATAGACCAAATACAGACATCAAACATACACCATGTACACACATCAAACACACCATATACAGACATCAAACATACACCAAATACAAACATCAAACATACACCAGATACAGACATCAATCATACACCAGATACAGACATCAAACATACACCAGATACAGACATCAAACATATACCATATACAGACATTTAACATATACCAGGTACAGACATTCAACATACAACGAATACATACATTCAACATACTAGCTGAAATCTGAGGCTTGAAGTGGGAGGTTCTCCAGATAAGAACAGTGTGTGTGTGTGTGCGCGCACACACGCATGCCAGTGGGTGTTAAACAAAAAAGAACCATATTGATATTTCACTTTGCCATATGGTGCACATATGAGGGTAGAGCATTTAAACGTATATGGTATAGTGGTAAAATGTTAGCTTACTAATGCAGTGATCAGCCCCTGGTAGTATTTTTGTTTTCCGACCAGAACGCTTCTATGTGGATGTCACCACACAAAATAGTGAGAGAACAGTTTGTGCGATAATTGTGCATCAACAGATCCCTGGAGACAGGACAGCTGACTGATTCAATGACTGACAAACAATTTTTTGTTTATGAACATACCCCTGGATACAGGCCAACTGACTGATTCAATGACTGACAAACAATTTCTTGTTTAGGAACAGACCCCTGGAGACAGGCCAACTGACTGACAAACAATTTCAAGATAAGAATGTTTTGATGACATAAAGTTATAATTTAATTAAAGAAACAAACTAAGAGGCTCAAAAAAAAAAAAAAATTTAGAAATAAGAGTACACATAAATTGCGGTAAAATAACAGCATTCATTATGAACACACACAATATAACAGCATTCATCATGAATAGACAAAATATAACATCATTCATCATGAGGACATGCAATTAAATAGTCTCTTCAAAAAGTATCAAAATGGCACAGTCAGGAATCCTGAACAAATCACTGTCATGGAAAAAAAAACCACAGTTTGCAAATATGAGCATATATTATGTACATTGTGATCACAGATTAACGTTAAACACTTGTTTGATTCTTTTATCAGCCAGACTTTCAAAACACCACTCCCTTTTTGATGTCTCATCCTAGATCAGTCCTTCCCTAAAGATCCTAGATCTGTGCTTCCCTAAACTGTTAAACATCCTAGATCAGCCAAAGCTTCCCTAAACTGTTGAACATCCTAGATCAGCTCATGCTTCCCTAACTGTTGAACATCCTAGATCAGTGCTTCCCTAAACTGTTGAACATCCTAGATCAGTGCTTCCCTAACTGTTAAACATCCTAGATCAGTGCTTCCCTAACTGTTGAACATCCTAGATCAGTGCTTCCCTAACTGTTGAACATCCTAGATCAGAGCTTCCCTAACAGTTGAACATCCTAGATCAGCCCATGCTTCCCTAAACTGTTTAACATCCTAGATCAGCCCATACTTCACTAACTGTTGAACATCCTAGATCAGCCCATGCTTTCCTAACTGTTGAACACCTTAGATCAGCCCATGCTTCCCTAAACTGTTGAACATCCTAGATCAGCCCATGCTTTCCTAAACTGTTGAACATCCTAGATCAGCCCATGCTTCCCTAACTGTTGAACATTCTAGATCAGGCAATGCTTCCCTAACTGTTAAACATCCTAGATCATTCAATGCTTTCCTAACTGTTGAACATCCTAGACCAGTCAATGCTGCCCTAACTGTTAAACATCCTAGACCAGTCAATGCTGCCCTAACTGTTGAACATCCTAGATCAGCCAATGCTTTCCTAACTGTTGAACATCCTAGATCAGCCAATGCTTTCCTAACTGTTGAACATCCTAGATCAGCCAATGCTTCCCTAACTGTTGAACATCCTAGATCAGCCAATGCTTCCCTAACTGTTGAACATCCTAGACCAGCCAAAGCTTCCCTAACTGTTGAACATTCTAGATCAGCCAATGCTTCCCTAACTGTTGAACATCCTAGACCAGCCAATGCTTCCCTAACTGTTGAACATCCTAGACCAGCCAATGCTTCCCTAACTGTTGAACATCCTAGATCAGCCCATGCTTCCCTAAACTGTTGAACATCCTAGATCAGCCCATGCTTCCCTAAACTGTTGAACATCCTAGACCAGCCAATGCTTCCCTAACTGTTGAACATCCTAGACCAGCCAATGCTTTCCTAACTGTTGAACATCCTAGACCAGCCAATGCTTCCCTAACTGTTGAACATCCTAGACCAGCCAATGCTTCCCTAACTGTTGAACATCCTAGACCAGCCAATGCTTCCCTAACTGTTGAACATCCTAGACCAGCCAATGCTTCCCTAACTGTTGAACATCCTAGACAAGCCAATGCTTTCCTAACTGTTGAACATCCTAGATCAGTGCTTCCCTTGTTGAACATCCTAGATCAGCCAATGCTTCCCTTACTGTTGAGCATCCTAGATCAGCCAATGCTTCCCTAACTGTTGAACATCCTAGACCAGCCAATGCTTCCCTAACTGTTGAACATCCTAGACCAGCCAATGCTTCCCTAACTGTTGAACATCCTAGATCAGCCAATGCTTCCCTTACTGTTGAGCATCCTAGATCAGCCAATGCTTCCCTAACTGTTGAACATCCTAGACCAGCCAATGCTTCCCTAACTGTTGAACATCCTAGACCAGCAAATGCTTCCCTAACTGTTGAACATCCTAGACCAGCCAATGCTTCCCTAACTGTTGAACATCCTAGATCAGCCAATGCTTCCCTAACTGTTGAACATCCTAGACCAGCCAATGCTTCCCTAACTGTTGAACATCCTAGACCAGCAAATGCTTCCCTAACTGTTGAACATCTTAGATCAAAGATGTGAAAGATGCTGCTCCCATGTAGTCTAGGCCCCATATACTCACTGTTTCTTGATGTTTCCAATTTTAAGCCACTCTCCTGGCTAGCAGACATTGTGACAAATCCATATGAGATAAGATTTGTATACACACACAAGCATACATGTGCAAACACACACACATGTTTAGATTTCTGAGCTTAGATTTGTGTACACATACAAGCATACATGTGCAAACACACCCATGTCTAGATTTCTGAGCTTAGATTTGTGTACACATACAAGCACACATGTGCAGACACAAACATCTCTAGATTTACCATCATTACAGTGATGAGAAACAGTTTTAAAACAACAAACTGTATGATACTGTCAGAGCTAGTATTGTAGAGACAGACATAAAACAAACTTTACAGGCACTGTTGGAAATATTCTTCCACTAAAACTTCCTAGCAGTTTTGTTCAGCACAGGCAGAAGCAAGACCACTATCAATGCCAGGATCATTCACATCTAATTTTCGACTGTCCATCGTTTTTGTTGTTGTTGACTGTCCATTGTTTTTGTTGTTGTTGTTGACCGTCCATCATTTTTGTTGTTGTTGACTGTCAATTGTTTTTGTTGTTGTTAATTGTCCACTGTTTTTGTTGACTGTCCATTGTTTTTGTTGTTGTTGACTGTCCACATGTCGAAACAGTTTTACTGTACCTCATTTGTTTAATACTCTTTCAGTTGTAAACTGTAAACTGTGCTTCAGTTTTTTACCACCTGCTGGTTTATTACTGACAGTTTTATACAGTCTGTCAGTTTTTTTCATTCTTTTACTATACTTGAGTTTTTATTTTTTTTTTCAAAAATTGACTTAAAAAAAGTCCACATCATCTTCAACATCTGCTGCCAAGAATTGTGGGAAGGATTTATTTTCAGCCCTTGTCAGATGGCACTGGCTAATATTTGTTCATGTAAATGCAGAATGTTTTTAATGTCATCAGTCCATCTCTTTCTTGGTCAATCAATCAGTCCATCTCTTTCTTGGTCAGTCAATCAGTTTATCTCTTTCTTGGTCAGTCAATCAGTCCATCTCTTTCTTGATCTGTCAATCAGTCCATCTCTCTCTTGGTCAGTCAATCAGTCCATCTCTTTCTTGGTCAGTCAATCAGTCCATCTCTTTCTTGGTCAGTCAATGTCCATCTCTTTCTTGGTCAGTCAATCAGTCCATCTCTTTCTTGGTCAGTCAATCAGTCGATCTCTTTCTTGGTCAGTCAATCAGTCTATCTCTTTTTTGGTCAGTCAATCAGTCCATCTCTTTCTTGGTCAATCAATCAGTCCATCTCTTTCTTGGTAAGTCAATCAGTCCATCTCTTTCTTGGTCAGTCAATCAGTCCATCTCTTTCTTGGTCAGTCAATCAGTCCATCTCTTTCTTGGTCAGTCAATCAGTCCATCTCTTTCTTGGTCTGTCAATCAGTCCATCTCTTTCTTGGTCAGTCAATCAGTCCATCTCTTTCTTGGTCAGTCAATCATTACTGAAAATAAGATAACATCCCGCATTAATTTGTTTTGATACTGTTCACACAAGTTTTTGTATCATTACTTTATAAGCTATAACCCTGGAGGATAAACTTTTGCAAGCTGTGAACTTTGAGAACTTGTAAATTTGCAATAAATCCTTATCCCCTTTGAAAAATTATTTTTAAAAACCTGGATCTGACATAATGTATGGTTTCAAAGGCGGGAACAGTTTCATCATTGAATCATGTCTGAATACTTTTGTTTTATTAGAGACAATGCTGGACTAGTTCATGTTTCTGGGAGAAGACCTAGACATTCTTAGCTCTCTATGAGTTAACTAGCAAGCTCCTGGTAATACTGAACCAGCTGTTTGCCGACATTAGGTGCCGTCAGTCTGTTCTTAGGATTCTGTTCCCAGCATTTTTTCATCAGCTCGGACCAAAATGGAGGAGGAGAATGGACAATTGTTAAACTAGGCCTCCATCCTGACTCTATGGAAACCTGGCAAGTAGACACAGAATGGACATGGTCAAAGGTTTGAAAGATCAGGAACTCAAGCATCAAAACAAACTAAGGGCACTTCAAGAGGCATAACACTTCACATTTCTTGGCTTGGATTATACAAATGTTGTTTGTGTGTGTGTAAGCGCGCAGGTGCATGCATGTGTGTGCTGCGTGTGTGCACATTCATGCATGTGTGCGCATGCGCATGTGTGTGAGCACACATGCATACTAAAGCTTCAAACATAAATTATCTTAAAAGTACTTATTTATTGAAAGATGTTATCATTGTTTGTTTGTTTGTATTCCCCTAGCTAACTATTCTCAGGAGAACTACTCTCACAC